CAAGAAAAGAGAGAGAAACAGGAAGCCCTCAAAGGAGAGAGAACTATATACATGAATGATATCTGAGCTGCCCTCCACCAGGCCCCCATCCTCACAAAAGAAGCCTATTTTCAATTTTAGGAGTAGGTGTTTTTTGGGGGATTTGTCACTCTGGTTCCCAGGCTAGAGTGTAATGGTGTGATCACAGCTCACTGCAGTCTTGAACTCCTGGGCCCAAGTGCTCCTCCCATCTCAGCCTTCTGAGTAGCTGGGATTACAGGCATGAGCTACCGCTCCTGGCGAATTTTTGTATTTTTTATAGAGTTGAGGTCTCACTCTATTGCCCAGGCTGTTCTCAAACCCCTGAGTTCAAGCAATCGTCCCTCCTCCAGCCTGGACCTCCCTAAAAGCTGGGATTCCAGTCAGGAATAGGTGTTTTTAAGCACAATGGTTGAGATTGTGTTGCAGGCAAAAGTATTGAGGGAAAAACACATGAAAAGTGGTGCAATCATAGAAACTGTAACTGGAAGGGACTTCAGTGAGTTTCACCATTTGGTGGAAGATGAGGAAATGGAGGTAGGACAGCAAAGGTCCCACAGCTTGGGGTGGCAGAAACAGAATCCTCTTCACTAGGCCACGCTGGTCACACTGTTAGGAGCAAAAAGCCAGAGCTCTCGTCCTGACATGGATGATGGCACCTGCTGTCCTGCAGAAGGCCTAAATAGATCCTTTGCAGTCTTCCATTTACCCAGGGAGGATCGCAACCAACTCATGCCCTGCTCCCCTTGAAGACATCATTTCCTTAACCAGAGAAGTCCCCTGGAGATGTTCCAAAGCCACCAGGAGACACTGCGTGAGTGTGAACACCAAGCCACGGGTACAGCGAGGCTACAGCTGAGTGACAGCCAATGGAAAGTGAAGCCATCCAGCGCACCGAGAGAACAGATGCTGAAGGCGGGGAAGTTAAATTGAATCCTGTCAAAATTCACACATCAAGAGGACAGACTAGAATCAAAAGGCAATGAGGAAGCCAGGGGGGAGAAGTATGAGGATCAGGAACCCAGAAGAACTATTGCCATGTAGGAAAGTGAACTAAAAAGATGGCTCCAGTTCAAGGCTGGAATTTTGGGGCACAGGTTTGTTCTTCTGTTGCTGACACTGACTCCTTTGTTGAGCAAGACTTACTCAGAAAAGACACACCCTCTCCCGTTGTATATATGGGGCATTATGGTGTAGGAGAAAATACTGTAGGTTTTACATACAGACAGATCTAGGACTGAATCTTGCTGGGTGTGAATTTGAATAAACCACTTAAATGTCTCTGAACCTGTTTTCTGCAAAATGAGGATAATTATAACTGTCACATTAAATGAGACAGCTCCTGTGAATTTCCATGCCAGCCAAGAGTATTCAGTGACAAGCAGTTAGGATTATTGTGGTTTGGTTGATTTCATCATCAGGATGGGATTTGATGCAGCAGTGATCTGAGGGGTGCTCACACAGGTACAGCCGTGGAGATGGACTGGACCGTGTAGTGACTAGGCCAACCAACTCTCCCATAAGCCCTCACTCCCACCCCAACCTTGCTAACACCTGCTCTCACAGAGCATGCCTGCCACCGGGGTGGCTAGTAAATTGACATCTTTGGGTCTGGTCATTTCTTGGAGAAATTAAGTCACCTGTGTGCAAGTGTGGCCACTGTTCCGCAGTGGTAGTCTCTACTAGTTATCAAAAATTGAGCATGCATGTGCATTACCCAGGAGGCTTATATCACACAGCTGTTGAGTCCCACCCCTAGACTTTGATTCAGTGGCCTTAGGATGGAGCCCAGAATTTGCATTCCTAACAAGTGGCCAGGTGTTGCCTGTACTGCTGGTATGAAGTCTGAGAACCGCGGAGGTATACCCACCAGCCAAGCACAGGCAAAATGGCCCCAACCCATCCCTCAACCTAAAGCACATCATGTTACTCAGTAACACAAGGTGTGTGGGTCACTTCTGCCACTCACAGAAGCACGCCGCGAACTCCACGTGCACTGAAATCATCCAACACCAACTTCACATCTGCTCAGCAAGGTGCTTGTGAGGGAGGTAGAGGCCTGAGCAAGGATCCATAGTCCCAGTCCTGACCCCACAGAACCCTTGGACAAGGCAAGTTCCATGTCTGTGTCCTCATCTTTATACGTGACACGTAAGTCCTGACCTCCCACAGAAAAGGATTTGGCAGAGTGCTCAAGAGTGACAGTTGGCAGTGACTGTGGAATTTGCAGATTTCTGTTTATGGAACAAGAGGCACACAGTCCCCCCTTCATGTTTACTGCTTGGGGATTTGTCATGATTCTTCCCAGGCCTCTCTTTCCACTTTGCCTGTAGAGGAGCAAACTGGGCCCTTTGCAAATTGATCAGGTGCCGTCTCCAGCAAATCTGTTCTAGAATAGAGCAAATCTATTTCCCAGATCCATCCCTCCCTGTCCCCTGCTCTCTCCCAGAGGAGAGGTTGCCCACTCACCCCACAGTAGCCTCTAAGGAACAGTTTCTGCCCTTCAGCCCCCGCCCTCTATGGGAAAGGTCTGTGTCTGACCTTGAGCAGCTTCCCAATCAGTTGGCCTTGCTAGACAGGAGTTCAGTCAGGCAGGTGCTTCCCCCGAGGGCTCTGATCTTCCCTTGAGATCTTAAAGCAGGACCAGGGGCAGCAGGGCCTCCAGTGACAACAGTGTGGTCTGTTTACCCAGCATGTGCCATGACTTGAAAGGGGTTAGAAGGCGCCTGCTATAGGCCATTCCATCTACACCCTCTGGCAAGCAAGAGTTCGTTGAGGCAGAGCAGGCAGCCCGGGAGACCTGGAAGATGGGCGTTTGTCTCAGGGACATTTGTTTTAGGGATTTGGAATAATGACAGATCCATGAGTGGTATGCCTGGCATCTTCCGCTCAGGGTGAAGCTGACAGGAAAGCCAGTGGCCAGGCCTGAGTGAGGGATACTGTAGCTTTGAGATGGTTTGTAAAGGACCACGGCTTGTGTTACTGCTATAACTGTGATCAGAGGACAAGAACAGAAGCCAAGCTTAGCTCACACCCCAGTGGGGTGGAAGCTCTTGAAACAGGCTCAGGACCCAGTCTCTTGTTTATAGTCAAAGAACAACTTTCCCTGTGTGCTCCATTCTGATTTAGAGGAAGGGTGTGTCATCAAGGACCAAGCACAGTCCTCGAGTCTTATCTCTTATCCTCCATCAACACCCATCCTACCATCCTCTCCTTCGCCCACAGCAGTTCCCACTGGTGAGTTGCTGTGGGAATGTTGATAAGCTATAAAATCTCTAATGGGCAGAGAGAATAGGAAGGAGAAGAACCAGAGACCAGAGAAAATAAGCCCTGGTGAATCGGGCCAGCTGCAGTGAGTTAGATGTCTTCTGTTAGAAGAGTTTGCCTTTCAGAGAGTCCATTTCCATCTTGTCCTTCTCCTGACTAGGAGAGTGTGTGTCCCTTGTCTTTCAAGCCAAAAAGCGCATATGACGCTTCCTCAAAGTCTCACGACAACCACTTTGAGCAGATCCCTTGAACAGGGTCCATTTCCCAAAATGAAGACACTGCCGACAGGAAACCGATAGCTGCACAGGCTGAAGGGTTTCCCTCTAACCCATGCGGTTTCTCCCTGGATTGGTAAAGCCCAGCAGTGATCGTACCAGCTTGGGCACTGGCAGCCTGTAGGCGGTTGGTACTCAGAAGGCTCACTGGGGCTGCTTTTGCCTGTAGTGCTGCCTGCTTCTGTTGATTCTGCCTGTGTCAGTGGTCACCATATCCACTGTACTTTATTCCTGTTTAAGGCCTTAAAGAATCAGTCCCGAGTAAAGCTGAATATTGTGAGATGTCCTCCGGTGACCACCGTGTTAATCAGAAGGCCAGACCTTCGCTACCAGCTGGGTTTCAGCGTCCAGAACGGAATTGTAAGTCCAGTGCCCTTCGCACACTTTTCCAAAATGTTGACAGATAAAAATGCAGCATGGTGTTTCCTCTTTTAAAAAAAAAAAGCCAATTTGTTCCCTGAAAGACTCCATCAAGGCAGGGGAGGCATGGGTGGATGAAGGCAGACTCAGCTCCCTCTGTAGAGAGAGTCCAGGAAGAGAATTCTGCCAAGGCCCTGGGGTTTCTGTGACGTGCAGCCTCGCCCTCCCAGCTGCCAGCATGACAGAGTTTGGGATATAGCCACCGAGGGCCTCCTCCCTCTGGGGACTGTGGTGGTACACCCAGGCTGCACACAGAGGCCCTGCAGAGCTGCTGACACCGAAGCCTGGGGGTGAGGGGGGTAGGGGCCAGCTCAGCTCTCTTCAGAGCTCCCCGGGGGACCCAGTGTGCAGCCCAGAGAGAACCGCTGCCCCGTAGCTGTTGGCATAAATGATCTATGCTCAGTCGATTCGCCATTTTAACCTGAGTTAGCACTTTGGGGATAAAGAGTATTTGTATCACTTGGCTGTCTGCCTTAAAATACTTCCTTGTTCTTTTTTATTTCTTTTAAATTGTGGAGAAATATACATAACCTAACATTTATAGTTTTAGCCATTTTTAAGTATACTATTCTGTGGCATTAAGTACATTCCTAGGGCTATGTGACCCTCACCACTATCTGGTTCCTTTTCTTCGCCCCAACAGAAACTCTACAGTCAATCATACACTCTGATCCTGGTTTTCTTTGTTCTGGAGCGTGGTGCTTCTGGGCTTTGGTGGTAAATCTGTCTTGTCTATAACTTTCTTGATTTTATAGGTTTTGGACGTACCCTTCTTCTCTATGCATTAATCTTTCCAGACAGAAGAATCTTATTTTTTTTGCCCCTTTAACTGTCAGTTAAGAGTCCTAGGTAACTAACATGTTATTCCTAGTATGTCTTAAGACTTAGAAATACCCTTGACATGCCCAGTGGGAGTTGAAATACCCAGCCCCGTTTTCTCTGTTCTTTTATTTTGTTTTGTTTTTTGAGTCAGGATCTCACTATGCTGCCCAAGCCGGAATGTAGTGGCATGATCATGACTCACCAAAGCCTCAACTTCTTGGGCTCAGACAATCCTTCTACCTTAGCCTCCTGAATACCTGGGACTACAGGCATGTGTCACCATGTCCAGCTAATTTTTTTCTTTTGTTTTTGTAGAGAGGAGGTCTTGCTGTGTTGCCCAGGCTGGTCTTGAACTCCTGAGCTCAAGCAATCCTCTCGCCTCAACCTCCCAAAGTGCTGGGTTTACAGGCGTGAGCCACCGTGCCCAACCTTCCTCTGTTATTTGGATCTGAATAGCCTAATCTGCCTGTAAGGAGAGGACCTAGGGTCATTCTTTATAGTTTGGGTCTGATATCATCTTCTCACCTGTTTATACTTATTTGCTTTGTTCATGGTTGAATAACATAAAAAGTTGTTCAGATATGAACAAAGAGTTGTTAAATAATACATGTGGGTCCACTGAGACCCTCAGTTTTATCTAAAGTATGGAAAGCACCTACGGAATATTTTGACCCCAGAGTAGCTGGAGAAAGGGGTCTCACGCTCACAGAAACACAAAGCACGTGGTTGCAGAATGTGGCTGGCAGTCTTGCCTGCAACTGCTTTAAAATAAAGATGCATAGTCTAGAATGAAATGTCAACTTCGCAAATTCAAACATACTCTTTTGGAAAATTCAAGTTGCTATGTGTGTGTGAGGTGGGGGTGGCTATACCCTCCAGCCCTGGAGGGCTCACTAGCCACCAGCCTACCGCCTGTGACCACAGCAGTGCCTGGCTGCATCGTCACAAAAAACCAGCCTCTAGGTCGTTTCTGGGGGAAGGGATTTTGGACAAGGGCCGCTGAGTTGAGAAGGCCTAAGGGATATCTCCCATCCAACCAGCCACACGTTGAAACACAGAGTGCAGGTCCAGCCCCACCTTGGCTGCTGGCATTAAAGAGGTCAGTGTCTGAGTCCCAGCCGTGACTGCGGGAAATAGCACTAACCTGTGTTACACAGGCTGACCGTTTGAAAACATTGGCTGCTGTGTGACGGGCCCAAACAGCTTTTCACGCAGACCCAGCTGGCACGAAAAGTAGTCAGAATCCAGTGTGCCGTGAAAGCCAGTGAGGTGCTACAATCCCTGCGCAGGCCGCATGAACGAGCTGGCTGGGTGGGCCTATAAAGACTGTTTTCTGTGAAAAGAAATGAGGTTTAAATGCCCAAAGCCTAACCGTGTCAGCTTCTCTGAGAGAAGAGTGCTGGCAGGGGGCTTCCGGGAAGGACAGTCTTTGGTCCTACCCGGTTCCCTGAGACACAGTGCTGCCCGTGAGGTGTGACTCGGCCTTTGACTCGTAGATCTGCAGCCTCATGCGAGGGGGCATAGCTGAGAGAGGAGGCGTCCGCGTGGGACATCGGATCATCGAGATTAATGGACAGAGCGTTGTGGCCACCCCTCACGAGAAGATCGTCCACATTCTCTCCAACGCTGTCGGGGAGGTAGGGGTGAGGCCCGGGGCTGCGGAAGGGCCTCATACTTGCCCTGGCCCTGGACAGACCTTCCAGGAAACCTTCCTGTGGATCCTTTCCAATCCTGGATCCTCCTCAGCACCGAGGCCTGTCTGTCTCTGGCCAAACGTTAAGCCCATTAATGAGTGGTTGTCCGAGGGCTCCTCCGTGAAATGAAACCAGGCCACCCTCAGCCTTCTCCTTGGTAGGAGTTGCTCACCTTCTCTTTACGACACTCAGATTTGTGTGACTTTTCTCCGTGGCTGCCCAAGTTGCCTCCGTTTTCCCAGTTAATCTAACTGAGCGTGTTTGGAAGATTTAGGTCCTAGACACAGGTCTGATCAACGATGTAGCCCTCCAGAGGCATCTTCCTGGTACGGAGGGCGTCTGTCTTAATTGCCACCCTGAAGTTGATTAGTGTCCTCACCTCATCTGCCAAGAGAGGCAGGAACGGGGAGGAGGCCAGAGTCACCCTCATTCCATTTAAGAGTTCTCTATTTAAAAGGCCTGGTGAGAACAAGAGCACTTGGCTGGGAAAGAAGCTTCACCTGGCTTTTGTTGCTCATGGCCGGTCACCCCTGAGCTTTTGAGAAAGTCTGTGGATTCCGTTATTCCCGGAGGCTGCCCTGGGTGTCTGGTGGTGGGTGGGGGGCTTCTTCAAAGCCCCGCATGGTGGGAGGCCCTGCGTCTCTCCCCAGGTCTGGGCAGTGCCCACAAGTCAGCCCCCAGCCTCGGCGCCCGCTGACGTGTATTCTTCTCCCTCAGATTCACATGAAGACGATGCCAGCTGCCATGTACAGACTGCTGACGGCCCAGGAGCAGCCCGTTTACATCTGAGCCGCGCCCCTCACCTCGCGCGGATGCATGGAGGACTCTCATTGTGGTTGTGTTTCTGTGCTGCATCCCCGTGTCCACTGAGACATTCCCTCTCGCGCCCGCCTGGCATTTGGTTTTACACAGGAAGAGCGGTATCCGCAAGGACCTCTTTGCTCTCTCTCTCCCGTGTGCTTTTTATTTTTTTATTTTTATTCTTTGACACCAGGGAAGTTTATATGTGCTCCCTTGAGGACGGAGAGCGGCCAAGGTCCACCTGGCATTTACCCAGGGTCATCCTGGAGGGCCTTTCTGGCGGGGTCCCGAGGTGGGGGACGGCCCAAGGGGGACCCCTCCCTGCCCGAGAGGTGCAGATCTTTTAGAAGGAGCCCCTCGGGGCAGCGAAGAAGCTAATTCAGCAGTGCCTCAAACCCGGTTGCTGATCTCTGCGCTCCTCGAGTTGATTTATGGGAATATGGTGGTAACGGGGGACCGGCCCACATTGTTAAGGGTATGCACTGCCCACCAGAGAGTCGGGGCACCATACGTGATTTCCTTCTAGAATTTCTGAGCCAACCTTAAGCCTCTTCTATAGCTAGTTTTAGTTTCAACATATGTGTTTTGTAATACGAGCCTTCTCACCCCAGGCTAACAGGGGAAATAACTGCCTTGCACAAGGATTCCATAGCGTTGCAGAGAGCCAGGCAATTCACTGGACATCCCAAGCTTTGCCAGGTTAGGTACCAACCATGAGATAAACACAGGCAGGTCCTCTCTGCCTCTCTCTCTGTCTTTCACACACACAGTCTCACTTGCTGTCCCCCTCTCCCGCTTCCTACCACCACTGAGAAAAGCTAAAATCAGGCACACAGAACCCCTGGGAAACCCACCTCTCTGGGAGGCTCCTTTCCCTGGCAGGCGGCCAGGCACGCAGGGGCTGGTCAGCCCCAGGGACTGAGGCCTGGACCTCCTGACGCCACTTTGGCTCACAGCGTCCTCCTCCCGGACTCCCCTCCCCCCATACCCTGGGAGTCTGGGAAGGATGGCCTGTTCCCCTAGAAGGCGAGCATCTGGGTGCAATAGTTCATGTTTCCTGACCCAAGGCAAGACCAGCTTTCTTCTCTGCTCAGGGCCACTAGGCAGGATGTGATATTTGAAAGGCCAGAATAATACATAAGCCACAAAATAAAGGGGACAATAATGACCTCAAGTGGTACCTAAGAATCCCCAAACGTGTTCCAGGAATAACATCTTGCTGCCTTGTGGGTCTGAGTAGTTTTCTGCTGGTGTGAAATGTCATGTGTTCTCATCAGGTGCCTCAGGTTTATGGACTCTGTCTCAGTTCATTGTGGACGTAGTAATATTTTTCGGAGCCAGTTTTCACTTATTCTTGGTCCAAAGAGCATTCTGTTTTCATGTAGGGTGTGGTTTTGTTTCGTTTTTGTTTTGTTTCATTCATGACCTCCGCAGAGACAGGGGAAGAGAAACTAATATATTTTGTGATATTGATATAGTCCCTGTTCTCTGCATCTGGGATATTTATGTTGTGTCTGTGGAGATAGGAATTCAGTGAGCAAATGTTGGGTAGGATGTATTTATAGAGAGAATGGAGGGATTTCAGGGAGGGAGAAACTGACTATAACAGGATTAGGAACCAGAGACCTCACCCAGAGAACGCTGTGGTCAACTCCCTGAGATCTCTGTCTCTTCTGAATCCTCTGCTTCGAAACAGGGAAGCTACATGCTTGAAAGGAGGCAGCAGCTGGACACTCGGCTCTGCTGTGGGACAAAACAGCCCCACGGAAGAGACTGCCAGCTGCCCGAATGTCCTGGGTGGGAACGGGCTCCTGCTTCTCGTAAGAGCTGTGTAGGGCGGGTGAGGGGAGCCGGGAGGGGCGGTCCAGGACCCCTGGGCTTCTTTCAAGGATGTTTCACAGGACGCTGCTGGGAGGCCAGCCCCAAGGTCAACCCCCCACGAGTGTGAGGACCCAGAGCCATGGCCCAGATCTCAACCTGCCTTTCCTGAAATAACCAAACTGTAGTGTATCTGGTGAACGTAGTAAAGTACTAAAGAGTCATTGGTTCATCTTTCCTCTGCCAAAAAGAGTGGCTAGAACAGGAATGACACAGTATCTGTGGCATTTCCAGCACCAGGAGCCCTGGAAAACCATCTGTCGGGCCCCTCAGGCCACCTGCTCAAGGGCCTGGATGGTTGCACCGAGGCCGGCCCGAAGGCGAGGGGACAGGAACTCCACGCACACAGCCCCCATAAACCCCAAGTCGTTGCAATTGACCATCTTCACCTTAAGGAGAGAGAATAGACTTCCTATTCCTGTTGCACAAGAAATCTTAGAAACAGAAGTGCTGAAAAAACCAATTCTGTAAACTCTCCTAGAGGACTAACATTTTAGCATCAGAGTATTCGTCCACCACATTCTTTTGTGTTGATAAAAGTGTTCTCTCGCACCCAGAGAGAGGAAGTTGCCGGGGCTCAGCACAGGTCCACCCAGCTGAAGTGTGTCCTTGCCTGCTGCCGCTGGGTGAAGGGAGTGAGCCGCAGGGTGGTGACCCTTGGAGTCAGAGTCTTAAAAGCGAGTCACTCGGTTTTTGAAAGTCCCAAGAAGAGGAGTGGTCTCTCTCCCTTGCGACATCCCTATATATAATTATATATGTAAATATTCCGGTCCCCCGTGTGACAAGGGCGATGTACAAAGCAGCCTTCCCAAACTGCGAGGGCACAGAGCCCCTCTGGCCGCCTGGCGGGGACATGCCGGTGACTCAGCTTTGGGGTCGGAGCCCAGACTCACCTCCCCCTCCTGGTTCCCCCAGGGGCACCAGAAGCCCCCCGTCTCTGCCTTCTAGAATTTCAGGGGGCCCGCATTAGCCTTGGGTTCACGGGAGGAAGGAGCCCCCAAAGCCCAATGCCTGGAGCCCCTCCCCCAGCAACGCTGTCCCCCCTCACCAGAGCGGGCTCCTGGGGGACGGAGCACGTGGCAGGGGCGCAGGGTCCCGCAGACGGGTTTGCTTTCTGATCATCGCCCGTCAACACCGCCTTCAGGGAGTCCCAGAGTAACCTACTACCTCCCCCATGGCCCCCGCCGCCCCCGCTGGCATCGACACCCACTCCCCCCGTCGCACGCTGACCAGAACCACCCACAGGGCCCTCCCCGGAGCCCTCGACCCAGCGGTGGAGCCGATACCAATGTTTACAACCAGGGCCACCTCTCGGGGGTGTTTGCTCCCACGTGCGCACGGCCGCTGGTGGGTGGGCTTCCGTGCCCCTCTCCTCCGCGGGTTTGGGTGGCCTCGAGCACACCGATGTCCCTCCCCCTCCACCCAGGCAGCGTGTGAGGACCGTGTGGGAAGGGCGCTCCCCGTCCGTACTTGGCACAGCACCCAGAGTCTGAACTTGTACTGCTGTCTGTCAAGAGGGTGACACGGGCCGCTGGTAAAGCGCTGGGAGAAGTGTAGTCTTGTATTTGTAACGATATCCTAGCTCTTGGTACACACAGAGCTCGATCTCTCCATAGAAATATGAACACCTGTATACATAAGACCCGTCTCCACGCGAGCCTGGAATGCCGACACCGCGCACCCGCCGAACGTGCCCCTCGGACAGCCTGGTCGCCGGCCAGGCCGGCCCTCCCTGCTCCGTCCCGGGGCCACGGTCGTCTGGCTTGGGGTTGTGATGTCTTTCCTGTGCGATCTCCCTCTATTTAACGGAACGCTCCTGTCTGTATGAGAATTGCCGCAACAATAAACAAACTCCACCTCTCGGCCGGCTGAGCGTCCTCGGGCTTCGGGGGCGGGGCGGGCTTGGTGTCCCCTGGCGGCCGCCCTGCCGGGTCTCCGCCCCG